TTGGACAAGATGATCTTTAAGGTCCCTTCCTTCTGAAGATTCTGTCCCTTCCCCACAGAAGATTCTGTGATTCTGCGACTTTGTTAGTATGTTAATAACAGTAAATAGAATCTTTCTTTACTTTTACCTAACGTTCGTGTTTGCTGAAAGAGTGACATCAAAAGATCTGGCTTTCCATTTCAACGAGCAGATTTGCTGGACCTCTCCCATGCTGGACTCCAGGGCAGCCGAAGGGTAACAGAAGGTTTCTCCTATCACCTCCCCAGGCTCTTTGAGTAGCCGTTAATGCTCGGTGCCAAACGGGAACGCTGCCGTGGAAAGCAGGCGCCAGTGATACCAGCCGAAGCCCCCAAATCGCCGGCTGCACTTGGAACGTTCTCCTCTCTGTGTCCTTTCCTTCCCACTTTACTCACTCCTGTCAAAATAGGAACCGTTAACTGCTTTCCAAGGCTCTGTAAAAGCCCCAAAGTTTTCGTATTTTTTGGTAATGTGAGCAGGAGCCTCTCGCTGGCCGTGCACAAATCTCCAACATCTTGGCATTCAACGTGGGGATAAAACGTCAGATGTTACTGCCCTGGTGTGGATTTTGATCAGCAGCCTGGAGCTGACACATTTTACTGTTTATTACTTATTCCTAAGCCATTTACTTCCCTTTAACACTCTAAATTCTGCTCTCAGATGCTGACGTAGGTGTTTTTTTAATTAAGCACCTTTTCACTCTTTAAGTTTGCTTAACAGATAACTGCCCATCAGCTTTTCACTTGAAACTTCTTGTTTGCTCAGCGGCGAGGCTTTTCATAATTAAAGCCCTTTTTCAGTTATTCTGGTCTGCAATGTTTACTCTTCTGAAAAAATAGCAAAGAAATGGTTTTGCATGACTGAATGATTGACGGAAACTCTTCAGGTGCTCGTCCGTTCTCCAGTAACACAAGTTTTTAAATTTAAGTGTAGAATTTTCTGGCTCTTTTCTCCACCATCTCTCAACGTTCAAAACTTCAGTGACCCTCGTGAACAGCTCTGAGTCACTTCTTCTCCTCCTGGTGCCAACACTTTGCATCCGTTCGCGCCGGACCGGAATCCGTGTGGAGCAGCGACAGAAAAAGCAGCCGCGAATTTGTCTCACAGAAATATTTTGAGCACCACCCCCCCAACCAAAACGCCCCAGATAATGGAAAAGCTACGCTGAAAATTCTTTTTCCTCCTTACAAATCTACATGCAAATCACAAATTGGGTAAGGAAACATCCAGCACAGGAGGAGCAGACCAGAGGGTATTGCAGTTGACAAATAAAATTAAACGGCAACAACATCTAAAATAGCATGAGAAAGAACTGATCAACAACTTGTTGCTCATTAAAAAAATAGCTTGTTTTTACTTTCAGACTCAGGTTCTACATATGGAATTTGCAAAAAAAAAGATAAGGAAAAACCTCTCTAAACAAAACCCAAAAGCTGGTTAGTTCGAGCTTTCACGGCCACATGTAGGCTACTAATTATTAGGGCAATCAAAGACACTTTGGAAAGTAAAGACCGTGTCCCAATTTAAGCCGGTTTTACCCTAATGTGCACGTAGGTGTCATAACTGCTCAGCAGTGGCTTTTGCACCCTCCTACTTTTCAAACTCCTGTAGCCAAGCATGCTCCATCTCAGAAAAGAATGCGACTTTCAGCCAAGATTTGTCAACGTGAATTCTCGGGCATAAAATGTACCGCTAAGAAACCTCTGAAGTTGATTTTTGGGTAGAAAATAAAGTTGGGTCCGCTGATCTTGGTGCACACAAAAGTTGTCTGTAAAATTGGAACACAGATGTGAAAATATAGAAAATGCCTGTAAAAGGGGGCATTTCAAAAATGTATGGATTAACAAAAACTGCTATTATATAGAAGCAGTTATTCATAACTATACTGCTTGGCCACACAGACCTGAATCCCCCTCAAACAGCCCACATCCATAGGCACCGAAATCAATGGGGGACCTCGTCATTGGTTTCAGTTGGCTCAGGATGTTACAGAGTCTGCAGCAGTTCCTGGATAGAAACACCAGGAAAAAAAGTCTTCATTTGTAACTAAACGTTTCATGTTTTCAAAGACTGGCCTCAGATGTGCTTTGGAAACTTTGTTTTTGGGGGGGGTATGTCTTTCTTCCACCAAGCTGCATATTTATCAGCTCTAGTCCTAGAGATGATGTTAAGAGCTTATCTCCCAGGGGATCAGAACTTCATTCTAATTTGCTTCTTTATTAAAATAATTGAAATTAACTGTTTTTTTCCTTTATTGCTCACAGTCTTTGCTACTCGCATAAAGAGCAAGCAGCACACTTCCACGTCTTTTTTGAGACTTTTGCTTATTTCTTTGCTCATCTGCCTTTAGCAAGTTCATGTTCTGAAAACAGAAAAGCAGGAGGCTGCAGGTAAAAGGGAATTAATAGTTCATTTCATCTCAGGGGGAAAAAAAAAAAAGCCAAAAACCATAAAAACCCAAACGTACAATATTTATTGCTTGGGAAAATTAAGGAAATCAAGGAGGTGTGTTTTCAAATTTTAATTTTGGAAAGGAATTCCTACTGTAGCTCAATTTCTCCTTAGCTTTGTTTCTCAGTTTACCGTTTTAAAGTGAGGCAAGTAACACTCTGCTACTTTGTAGGAGCATTTCACAGCTAAATAATTTACAGCCAGACCGCGCTGTATTTTTTTCACGGTGTGTGATATCTTGCCATGCAACTACCCCCGAAGGACCAGCAAACCTATGTGACAACTCCAAAGACAGGCCTCCTTAGGGACAATCACGTGCTATTAGATATAATCAGGAATGACAGAATCTGGCTGTTAGAACTTCATGAGACGCTCAAATACTACAGGGACAGCAGCCATTAAATCTATAGATAAATTACATCTAAACCAATCCCACTTTTCTGCATTCTTAACTCCTAAAATATCCTTTGATTTCAGTATTGCTACTCTTCATTCTCAGCACATTTTTTTTAATTTCAGTATTGCTACTCTTCATTCTCAGCACTTTTTTTTTTTTTAAATCTAAGCCCTCTGAATTTCTCCTCAAACAAGGACATAAACACAGATACTGCTGCCAGGTAAAATTACTGCAATGAGTTCTGGTTTGTACAACTTTTGGAAAGCATTCGGAAATGGTTTGCTTCTCAGGAGGTAAGGACTTAATAAAAGAGTGTCCTCACGGCACAGAAAGCGACAAAACTTCTTACTGGAAGTAATAAAACAGATTTCTTTGCACCAAGTGGTGAGGCTATGGCTTAGCTGGAAACTGTGTAAGGGCTGTAGGGATGGCACAGTGTATGCAGAGCATACACTACTTTTATGGTTTGAGGAACCCGCAACAATTAAACTATTTGTTTAGACAATTATTGTCTCACCTGATGACCTCTCCCCACCCGGGAAGGGGAATCAGGGAAAAAACAAGGAAACCCGGAGGTCGAAATATAAACAGATTTAATAGAATAATACTAAATAATTAACATTAATAACAGTAAAGAACCAATATTGATCCTGATACCAATATAAAAGGATTATTCTCAGCCAATTCTATTGTAGGAAGTAGGAAGCCGTGCACTCTCAGAAGTGGACAGCAAAGGTCAGACACTGCGAGCGATACAGTGGACAGCAAAGGTCAGACACTGCGAGCGCTACGGTTTCGGGAGGAAGGGAAGGGCTCAGGGGTCCGGCACCGGGGCAAGAAGTTCTCAGGTTCACAGCCATCAAGGAAGCGAAACTCCTCAGCCAACTTTATAATTTATATTGAATGTGACATTCATGGTATGAAATAATCCTGTTGAAAGCTTGGGTCAAATGCACGGGTCTTGCTCCTCCTCATTCCCTCACCTGGTGAGCTCGAAAACACTGAGACCTTGAAACCTGCATACCACAGCTGGGTATAAAGTAAATAATTTCACAGATTCAGATGCTAGAGTCTTCTAAAAATGCTGTTTTCCCAAGCATTAGAAGAGACCTTACTGAAAGGTAAAATTACTGAAAGATAAGTTAATCCTGTGTTGCTCAAACCAGGACAACCATTGTAGAGGTGCTGCCTTCCTCCGCCTTCCCAGAAAACCCATCTCAGTGTGGACAAGAACAAAGTTACTGTTATAGGAGTAATTACGAAAATTAAATTAATATGAAGGGGCTACATGAAAAGCTTTTTTAAGCTGCTGGACGTGCTCAGTGAGAAGTAACTTGGCCTGAAGGATGTAGTAGGCTGAAGATTTATAGATTTCATACTCCTTCCTGAACAGTTTGACGCCTTGATTGCTAAAGGTACCACTTCCACGCTCTGGGATGGGCCAACGTGCCAAACTCAGGGAAAATAACCTATGGCCTGCTGCAATAATTGAAATTTATTTTTTTTTTAAGTTTTCTTGGGCTCCTAAGCCATGACTGGATAAGTTTTGACAGGGATGAGGCTCAGGAAGGGACAGGATCACCTCAGGCCGGCCCTTGGTGTGGCCGAAGGAGAACCATCCCCGTTGAACGCACTGTGGCAAAGATTTTCCCTCATAAAATATTCAGAGGGGGATCTTTTGTGCCCGCAAGAATATTTCCCCTTCAGAGGGAGAGATATCTGTGGAAAACCTCTCCTCAAAATAACGGGGTGAAGCACCGAGGGGCGGAGGGGGTGGTCGCTCAGCCCCAGGGCCCAGCATGGACGGGGGGGCGATGAGGTGGGGGGATGCCCCCCTCAAGGGGACTCACGGTGTTATTTATTTTATAAAGCACCTTTCTCCTCCGCGGTAAGAGGACGGGGGACTCTTGTCCCCCGGGAGGCAGCGAAAACCCGCCGGCCCTGAAGCCGAGCCCCCGCCGCTTCCCCTCGTCCTCCCCTCACGGGGGCGGGCCGCGGCGGGGGGAGGCGGCGCGGCGGCGGGGCGGAGCGGAGCAGAGCGGGGCGGGCGGACGGACGGGCCATGGAGTCCGTCGGTTAATGGCGTTCGGGGCCGGCGGCGTCTGCCTGGCGGGGCGGCGGGGAGGGGGGGGGACGAGGGGGAGGCGGCGAAGGAACAAAGCGCCGGAGCTGCCAGGTGAGGCCGGGATGGGGAGGAGAGGATGGGCAAGGCGGGCAGCGCTGAGGCGGGGGGCTCACCCTTCCCCTCCCTTCCCTCCTCCATCTCGGCTGTTTTGCGAGAGGAAAAAATTCTCCTCAGGATGAATTTGCCCCGCTAGTCCCTCACGGAGCCCCTCGGGGCCCCGCTGGTCCTTCACGGAGCCTCTCGGGGCCCCGCCGAGCCCCTCGCGGAACCCCCACCAGCCCGTACCGCCCCGGTGTCGTTTTCCCCTTTCGGTGGGGAGGAAGGGAGGGAATGAGGGGAGGGGAAGAAGGAGGGAAAGGCGGCCGAGGGGCGGGATCCGGCGGGGCCGGGCCGGGCCGGGGCCGCTCCCCACTCAGGGCGCCTCTTCTTTGGGTCCAGGTGGCGAGTGGCCGGCC